GGAGGGGGAGCTGCTAGATCTCCAGGTGACGGGTTACTGAAGCGGAGAGATGGGGTTGATTCGAATAATGATTATCTAAGAGGGGGGGGGGGCAAGAGCTGCAGAAGGCGAGGAACTGTAGTGGCGGAAAAACGGGACAGCTTGAAAGGAAGTTTTGGGGCGGTTTGAAGGGGCGGTGGTTGAGAATGGGGGCGATTTTAAATAAGATTATTCGATTGAACACAGAACTCGAACTCAAAATGAAGACGATTTTGGGTTCACGGTCGAAGTCCTGGCGCATGAAACACAAACAGAAGTGGTTACGTGTCAGGTACGCGCGAACTCACTTCCTATATAAGGTTAAACTTTGACGGTGAGTTTGAAACTTGAAACAGTACATTTACGGTGCTCACGAGAGCTGGTTCTGCTTATAAGGGAGGTACGGTACTCTTACCCACCCAGGTATGTGTGATGATTAAGTTGGTCTCGTAAATATTGTTGGGTGCAGAGATGTTTGATCGGGTAGTCTCATGAATTTGATTCCATCCTTTCAGGCTCCGAAGAAGGTGGATTCACCTGTACGTTAGCCATTAAGGTATTGTGAACCTCGTGTGGCATTGTACCAATAAAGTTTTCGAAGATATGCCGAGATTTATCGAGAGCCGCACGAGGGGAAACGACGTTTATTTCTAATCTACGCTATCACTCACAAAGACCACACGACTTAGCACAGTATTCCTTCGCAACCTCGTGATAGTTTGGGGTCTTGCATGGAGGCTCATTGTCGGCTGCTTGCGGTGTTTGCATGTATTCACAAAATCTTTCGCCTGCTTTCGTCTCCGCCGCTTTATCCACGCACGGCTGGAAAGATAAAATGACACGGGAATGAAATACATTCAGTGTTTATACGTTGTTTGTTACAAGCTGGTTGGCTGTATTGTGCAAAAACTAAACATTCCTAAATCTTTTAAAAGAATTTCCCCTCAGAAGTTCTACTAATCATCTTGAGGTAATTTTGTTAACTTACTTCCGCTTCACTTGTGAAGGCGTTGAGTAGAATAAGAGCGCAGACAATGTAGAAGAACATTTTGAATGTTGCTGGATCTGTGATAGATTGTGGTAATCTCCCATTATTTATACTGAACCGTGACCATAAACCTGTGTAAACAAACTCAAAAAAGCTGGTGAAACTCTTTGCAATGAATTTCTGATCCAATAATTGATAGTCGGATACTTCTGAAAAGTTGTCACCGGATAAAGCAATGGGCATATAAACCATGGAACCTCCAGATACATTCGTAGACAAACTTTGATAGAGAGCCCACAAAGTTACTACATACTAAGTGTCATTTAAGTCCGTTAAAGGTTTAAGGTAAAAAGTGAACACTTTTGCTTGCTAGTCTACTACTCTGTGGTTGGTGGGTAACTAGGTAAAACCTGTTGCTCTACATCTACGAAATAGATTCTGTCGGCAGACCGAGCGAGCCTGGTTGAGTGGGTGTAGTTGTAGTCTGCATTGACCCCTGCACATATATTTATCTCTCTAAAGATCGCAGAAATCGTCAGTATCTTCTGTACTAGATAGCCTGAGCTGTTTAGGCAGCACTTCGATTGTGATTGATTGATATCATTTTTTAATTGAACTCGATGGAACAATGGCCAATTGTGCAAAATTAACGAAAAACTTTATCTGCAGAGCAGAGCTCGCTGAAAGGGCCTCGCCCTGATTGAAAAACTCTCTCGCTTTTAGTATAAATAGTCTCCATATACAGAGCCCTACCACAACTTCAGCGGCATTCAACATGTTCTTCTACATTGTCTGTGCTCTTGTACTACTGAACTCCTTCACAAGTGAAGCGGAAGTAAGTTAACAAAATTACCTGAAGATAATTAGTTACACTGAGGGAAACTTCTCTTCCACGATTCAGGAATGTTCAGTTCATGCACAATACAGCCAATGCGTTTTCGTAGAGACTCTTATAAGCAATGTATAATATCTAAATGTACTTCGTTCTCGTNTCATTGTATCTTTTCAGCCGTGCGTGGATAAAGCGGCGGAGACGAAAGCAGGCGAAAGGTTTTGTGAATACATGCAAACACCTCAAGCAGCCGACAATGAGCCTCCATGCATAACCCCAAACTATCACGCGATTGCAAAGGAGTACTGTGCTAAGTCGTGTGGTCTTTGTAAGTAACAGGTCTCAGATACCTGTTGCATAAAAATAAATACTTCTCATCAATCTGTCTTTGGTGTCCCTTTGAATCATCCTCTTGAACAAAACCCGAAAGGACTTTTATTTTGATTTGCTTCTGCGAAGGTATCAGTAGCTGAAGAGAAGCTAGACAATTCAGCTAGCAGTACATGCATTAGGCTACTACGAAATTCCAACAAAACTCGAAACGACATGTCGGACCTCCATCAATTTGGTAGCTCCTCAGCATTAATAGGAGGAGTGACGATTTCTTGGTTGAGTACCTCTTCACGTTTCTCGATGTATTCAGTTAGAATAGATTCGAAGGTAATCTGAGCCTCCAACACACATTGTGATCGGACACGACTATTAGTGGGTGAAGGCTGAAGATCTAAACGCAACAAAAGATGTGTACAGGGGCACCGACTAGTATTTTCAAAGTTACATGCTCACATAGACCTAAGTAACTAAGAGAGGAATTCATGAATTCAGCCCTTTTTTCAGCACTGGCCTGACCAAGGATCGAAGGCCTGCAGTGGGACACTTTGACTGTGGCTCAAGTCAGTAGCATGTCAACTCGGAACCTCTCATCAGCTTCGCTTCCTCTGCGTCATTTTGTATGGCTAAAAAGATGGAATGACTTGGAATGAAGCTTCTTCGAAGCAAGTCGAGTGTTTGTTTAAATCACTCAAAATAATATTACGGTACTCTTAGAATAGTTCAGCCAGAACACCGAGCTCTTGCCACTAAAATTCTATTGGAAAATAGCAGTTTCATTATCAGGTTTATTCACGGATCATTTTCATAAGAACCTCCAAATTTGCTTAAATGTGTGTTCTTCGTAATGTATGTATGTATCCATCTGAATATAATTTGAAGGACGCTTATACGTCTGTGAAAATTTAACTCTCTATGCCTCAATATATGTATCTCCGATAAAACCAGCTTCAAGCATAATGTGACCTAGATAGACTACGGACGGCCTCTCCAAAATCCCACACGACGAGGCATAAGTTGTGGTGTGGTAGATACTCTCTGGCTCTTGACCGTTAAGGTACAGTTGATCGAGTTGCAGTATAGGTATGGATCTCCACACAATCGCATATATCCGCTAAGTTGGGTTGTATCGCCAAACAAGGAAGATTTGCCGCTTTCTTGGTTCAAAACCACCCGTTCTTCCACGAATATGCCTGAATTGGGACTATCTGTTTGAAAAAGCTCCCGAAATGCAGGGACACCCCTAGTAGGCGCTCATTTTCGAGGCCTCGCCGTCCCCCTTTGACTCGGGACAGTACAAAGCGTGTCCACCTCAGAACAACTAGCACGACTCAAAGTGAGAAATCATTATCAAAACCTATGATTATATTCGGTTTCTCGAAAGGCGATTGAAAGCATTCAACAAAAAGACATAGGCTGGTTCTGCATGTATATTTATTTCTTTATGTAAAATTATAAAAATTTATATTATTCACAAAGACCACACGACTTAGCACAGTACTCTTTTGCGATTTCTTGGTAGTCTGCGGCTTTGCAGAAGAGCTCCTTATTTGGGATTTGAGAAGTCCGCATGTATTCACAGAACTTTTCGCCTACTTTTATTTCCGACGCTTTGTCCACGAACGGCTGAAAAAAAGAAATAAAAATATAAAAGAATAAAATAAAAGTAAATAATTAAAATGACCGTTAATGAACTCCATTTAGATTTCAAAAATGGCTTGTCAGAGACTCTATAGGAGTGGATTGTTTGTACAATCTCGTGGACTAGACATCCTTCCATGTTGAAGTGTTACGCTTCACTGAGTACTGCTATTTACCCGATACTGGAATTGATAACCTACTTCCGCTACCTTGTGCAGGCGCTGAGTAGAACAAGAGCGGAGATAATGGAGCAGAACATTTTGGATGTTGCTGGTATTGTGTTATACTGTGGCAATCCCACATCATTTATACTGAAACATGAGCGTTTCCTTTGACCAGGGTGGGACTATGTAAACGAACTCGAAACGGCTGATGAAACGCTTCGCAAACAATTCCCAATTCAATATGGACCAGTCGGATACTTTTGGAAAGTTGTTACCGCGCAAGGTAATATTCATATAATTCATGAAAATTTCACATACATTAGTAGATGTACGTGGATAAAGAGCCTTCAAAATTACCACCAGGTCTCATACAAGTCAGGTGAAGGTCTCTAGAGGAGACTACCATTGCTGGACTACCATTTCTATGCTTCGAAGAGAACTAGGTAAAAGCTACGTACTGTTCTTCACCTACTAAATAGGTTCTGTCAGCAAATTGAACGAGCCCAATTGGATGTTTCGTCTTTCAAAGATAGATATAAATAGAAAGCATTGGCACCTGTGCCCATATACCCTGCAGAAGATCGCAGAATTTCATCTCAATAAATCGAGCAACATAATCGTCCACTTTAGATAGCCTGGGCAGTTCCAATAAAGAGGATAGAATAGCAAATTTCGGCAGAGGTTTGTCTTATATCATTTTCCAGTGAAACGCGGTGAAACAATGGCCCATTGTGCGCCATGTACGAAAAACGTTACCTGTAGGGCGAAATTTGCTTACAGGCATTTGCTCTGATCGTGAAAACGCACCTGGTTAAGTATAAATAGCTTCCATATGCAAAGCTCTACCACAGCTCTACCACAGCGATATTCAACATGTTCTTCTACGTTGTCTGTGCTCTTATTCTACTCAATGCCTTCACAAATGCAGCTGAAGTAAGTCATCAGAATTACCTCGAAATGATCAGACACACTGAGGGAAACTTCTTTTCCAAAATTTAGGAAAAAATTCATGCTTAATACAGCCAATGCGTTTTCGTAGAGACTCTTATNAGCAATGTATAATATCAGAATGTACTTCGTTCTCTTGTCATTGTATCTTTTCAGCCGTGCGTGGATAAAGCGGCGGAGACGAAAGCAGGCGAAAGGTTCTGTGAATACATGCAAAAACCTCAAGCAGCCGACAATGAGCCTCCATGCATAACCCCAAACTATCACGCGATTGCGAAGGAGTACTGCGCTAAGTCGTGTGGTCTTTGTGAGTGATAACGTAGATAAGAAATAAAAGTCGTTTCCCTCGTGCGGCACTCGATAAGCCTCGGCATATTGGCAAAATAACTTTATTGGTACAAATCCACACAAGGTTCACAATATCTTAATGGCTAACGTTTCGGTGGAACCACATTCTTCGCAGATTGAAAAGATGGAGTCAAATTTATGAAATTACCCACTCAAACAGCTCTACACCCGACGAGCTGAGTTCAAAGGTAATTCTAGCTTCTGGATTACTCTACTCTGAACCAATTTATGGAAAAAAGACAGAAAAGACGCGACTTCGCGATATTCGCGTGAGTTTTTGAGGTCTTACGGCGAGTGCTGTGTGATTCCTGGTGAGGTTTTCTTGTGTTTCTGAAAGTTTCTAATTTTTGCCTTGATCAGGCCACCCATGTCTCCAAGAATCGGTAAATGGTCGAAAATGTTTGACGAGAGAAGAGTGACATTCTACAGGAGTGTTCTGAGGGCTGAGCAGGAAACTCGACATATGGTGGCACTCTAACTTGTGACACTGTTCCTTATCAAACACATATTTTCTGGTTCTATAGTGATGTCTGACCATAGCTCAGAACAGGAAAGAAGACGATTCGAGTGCAGTGCAATTAGGAAAATCGTTAACCAGAACTAGAAGTTACCTCATTTTCACATCCATCGTTTGATTGAGCTAGTGTATGGTTTCAATTATTTATTCTATTTTATTCTATACAATATCTAGGCACGGGAAAACATAGTTTAACAAAAAACACATTAAGAACATATTTATTTGTGTGGGTGATAGAAATGCCGTACTGTTAATAGCATTAGTAGCACGTTTTGGCGCATAGTTCTTTTCCAACTTCGCAATGTCCTCGTTCGTACATATCGTAGCAACTCTTATTGTCTAACTGGTTTTTACAATCCTGAAACCGGTGGTGTATGAGAAGATTTAATACTCTTTGGATTCATGCGTGTTCTACTTTAGTAACACGATTGTACTGAAGTGTCGAATACGAGATCAAAATCTCACGCGGTATCCATCGGCATAAGAATGCAACTCACTGTTTTAGATTTTTTAGGCTCCTCAGGCGTGCACCACTCGCAAGTTTGGCACAAACTCTTTTCCCCAATTCGACATAACTTCCCATAAAGCGCTGCCCCTTTTCTTTAATACGGCGACAGAGTCCTGGATGACCCTTGTCCTCACACGGCTGAAATGAATGGCATCTTGGATAATGGAATTCTTTTAAAGTTCAATCGGTTTCAATCAGTGAAGCAGAGCCAATCTGCTGTACTTTTGGTGAACTTCAGGACTTACAGCTATGCATGATCAACTCTCGCTCTTTCTTATTTCCGAAACCAAGGTATACTTTGTTCAGTAACACATACTCTTCCTGAACTTAACAACCAAGTGTGATTAGTGCTGTAAAGCCAGATTAAGTGCACTGGCGAGCACTTCATCGCCTAACATCAGAAAATCAGAATTATTCATTAATTTCACAGTGTATTGAGAATGCTTTGAAAAATCTCGCCATTCCATAAGGAAGATCAACAGGCCAACATAAAGATAGAGCTCCACAATAGCGATATCGGCATGTTCAAATTTTTAAACGCCGATTTTGAGAACTTGTGATTGGGTGTGACCTGTCACGCGTCATTTGGGAATGGAAGTCCAATGCAGACATCGCTGGGACCTTGATCGATGAAGTGAGAGCCGAAGTGGGAAGAATAGCAGTTCTAGTTTGAGCCTTCGAGAAGAGCATTCGCAATTTCCATCGCGGCTTTGCCACTTTTAAATTATACGTATGATGACTTCTTTCGTCATAGTGGCAGAACAGTTACTGCTTCTCGAAGTGCAATGAAGAAGATCGTTTGCGGTTGAAGCGCGGTCACCAGGATTGAGCTCTAGCATAATAACAATATTTTGAATAATGAGCATGATGACAGCATCAAAATTGCATAGCTTTATTGCCCAGTCCTATTCCCGTTAATAAGGACACGTGCATTTCTGGAAGTGGGAGTATTGTCTATCATAAATCTGCCTTCGGTAAGAGTTTGTTCAATCAAAAGTGCGCGCGTGGTCTAGCTGGCCGATTCCGCATGCTTCCTAAAGCTGTTCCCTTGCAATTTCTCAGATTTACACTTTCCCGCCCGACAACCACTAATATTTTCCCGGATCCTTACCTAAGTGGTTCGTGCGCTATGAGATGCTTTGTTGTGAAAGTGCCCACAAAAACGTCAACAATGGGCCTGCCAGAGAAGCCATATTCAAGCACTTCAGCTAGCACCACAGCGATCGCTTTCTGCAGGGGGTGCCTTCCTTCTGAATGATTACCCTTTCAAATGAAGGCCTCATTTGTAACACTTCCATACTGTGAGGAATATATTTTTCAGGACCAAAGGCTTGAGTACGATTCAACGATTGGCCCTGTTTTGTGGTACATAGTATTTATGACCATATTGACACAATTCCCCTTTCTCTGCTGCGGTAATGGGCGATATGATTGCTATGAAGTGGTACAAAAACCTCAGCAAAGAAAATAATGGGTTGTCTGGAAAGTTTCTGCCGATTTTTGAGGTATTTTTGCGTGGAAGTTCCTAGAAGAATGAATTCATTTATCGAACAAATATCTTCCATTNTTTTCAATCACGGTTCGGCGTCTTCTAATAGTTTCAATTATCCTACCTTCTCAGAGCGTTCTAGACCTAGAACTGAGAACCCCTCTCAGGTGTTTTTTGCAGTCCTCGAGCGGATTGAACGATGTTCCATCCAAAGAATTCTGGGGACTAAACAAGCGGTAGTCTGATGGTGATATGTCTGGAGTGTATGAGGGGTGTGGTAAGAAATCCCACGCAACAATTTTTACGAGTGACCATAATACGTGTGGTCTGGAGGTATCCTGCTGGAAGGCAGCGCCCTTAAAACTGGCCAGTTCTGGGCCCTTCTGGTCTATCGCTGTCTTCAAATTGTCAAGCTGAGAAAAACACCTTTCCGGAGTTATCGTTTGATTATGCGGCAACAATTCATAATAAGCGATTCCTTTTCTATCGCACCAGCAACATAGTAAAATAACCCGCCGCATCTGGATTTTGACACTCAGAGTGGCTAGTGACAGTTCGCTGATAAGGCTTCAAGATCGTTTCCGCTCCGCTTTGTTGTTTTTAACCCACTTTTCGTCCTCCGTTTTCATGAATTTCAGAAACAACTCACTTCTGTTTTGTTTGAGCAACGAGTCGCACACCACATTACGCTCGCTCAGTGCGTAGGGTACCCAAACATCAAAGCGTTAACAAAAACAAGTTCGAGCAAATGACCATAGACGGTTGATTTCGAAACATCAAGTCTTTCTCCTATTCCAAGAGTAGCTATGTGCCGATTCGTTTCTAACAACATTTCAATTCGTTCGTTTTCAGCCGATATTAGCTTCTCTGAGCGTTGCCGATCTTAGAGAGCGAATCCACTTTGTTCAAATTTCGCAAACCACACGCACTGCACGTTTTCCTAGAGCATTGTCTACTTGAACGTCACAAGTCTCGCTTGAGCCGTTCTCGCCCTTGTGGTGGAAGAACAGCGTCATGCGCCGAAAATGTAATACATGTGATGGTCCTCAATTTTCACACGGGTCCTATACAAAAAGACTTCGAGGAATGCTGATAGAATCCAATCCGAACAAAGATACAGAAGAGGACTCACCCTTTTGGAAAATATATAACTTTATAAGGTTAGGTCCTGATCTTTGGTACAACAGATGACAAACCCAGGGTATTCAAAAACGGCGGGACCGGACAACCCAGGATTATTTTCCAATGTCGTCAGGTTCATGCTTCTCGGACGAAACGAGCTGTTGCTAGTAAAATGTTTCGTATTGTGTTGAAGGTTTGTACTGGAGAGGTTGAGCGTGAAGAGTCAGTGGGAATGGCACGCAATATTGCCAGTTGAATGGATACAGTAACACTTTTCGAATCATAGAGGTTCTCCTTCTCGATTCAAAGATTCAAATATTCCCCCTCCTCGAATGTTCGCAGATTGTTTTTGATCCATTCCGGGCTCTGAAGAAAGCGATACCGCCGAAATTGTAGTCTAATAAAGATTTCAATAGAGACCTCGTGAGATAAGATAGATATGTATTAAGATATGTATAAAAAAGATCACGCAATAGTCAGATTGCGAGATTTATGGAAGTCGTACGTGAAGAAGAAAATCTACGCGGACAGAAAATGTGAAATGCTGTAAAATGTGAAAATCAAAGCTCAATGGAATAACAAAAAGTTTATTACAGTGTCGGGAACGCTCACCATTTCATTGACCTGCGGGCTACTACTAACTACTGAACAAAGGATGACCTTTGGCATATTTCTCGAAATGATTCAAAAACATACATTGATATGCCCCTAATAAGCCTATCTAGTTTTAAATGCATATGCCATGGTGACTTGATTTTGATTAACAATATTTACTTATTTATTTATTTGATTCTTTATTTATTTGTTCACTTATTTATTTATTTATTTATTTATTTATTTGGCTACATATGCATTTAATCTTGCTGTTCTTAAATGTGCAATTGTAATTATACTTGTAAAAAATTTTCTCACTCAAATAATCGGTATTAACCCAATTGACTGAAGGTGGGCTCTGAAGCCAAGTCACCCAACATGCGAGTGAGTGAAGGTGGGAAGTGACCTAATTTAGAATGAAAATTCCTCCCCCATGATTATCAATACCCCTGAAATAAATTGTTCTTTTTTCTTGCAAACCTCTCAGATATTCTTACTCAGTATTTATATTTATTTCGGGTGTTCCACAACACTGATCACGTGAGGTTATCCAAGATCGGCTGAATGGCACAGAGCGCACCGTCGCTAAGGAAAGGCTAACGTATGCTCGTACTGCAGGCGAGAGAGATTCGGAATGCGCACAACTATATAGCATTTATTCATTCGTCTTTTTTTCTCTATGCCAAAGAATCACACGTACCATCTTCTTCACTTTTCAAGAGTGCTTTTTTGAAAAACAGGTGCTTTTCGAGCCTGTTGGCGTCCATATTTTCTATATTTTATATTTTCAACTAGAACTCTCTTCCTTGTTCGCTTGAAACTGGAGTGAAAGCTGGTAGTTGTATCCTTACAGTTGAACGTCCTTGGTTCGAAATTTAATACGTGAAGACATTTCGTAAAGAGAATTCCTGAAAATGTTCCAAACTGGCTGAGGAATATAACATAAGCTGATCGGCCTCTTCCATGTCAATTCTCTGTGTCGATGAGAAGCCTTTTTGCTACCCGGTATTGATTGTAGATTGTTGCGTTGTATATTAGCAGATGTTATGTGACTTGTTTTAGCCTAGGCGATCTCAATAGACGATTGATGGGGGTTGCTTCGAATTACCTAGGCGAACGGCGATCGCTGGTTGAGTGGACACCCGTCAGAAATGTGGTGGGCGAAACTGGACACCAACGGGATTCCTCTCATGCAATACGCTTTTCATATCACCTCCCGTCGTAGTATATCAAATCCACATCGTTGTGATGCAGTTCCAGACTAATAACTGAATATCCACTGATCAATAGTGCGCTCACGAAACAGCTTTGAGATGAAGCTGGTGACTTCAATGTTGAAGAACGTCAATGAAACAACCTAAATGTAGTTATTACTTCATATCGTCCACTCCCGTTTTCGCCCACATATTAGTGCGGTGAGCTTTCAAACAAACGGAATGAAAAAGTCGTCTTGATTGGTCATAATTCGAAAGAACCTGCATGATTGACGGGGACGATTTTCACTGGGAACAAAAACGTGTTCGCTCTTCAAACATTCATTTCCACAGTGCATGAAGATGAAACTTTTGCTCTCAAAAGTCTGAACCTTATCATATCGCTTTCATTCTTTGTTTTGTTTTAAGATGGAAGTGGGAACATTAGCTCCCCTCTTAAACCAAACAGAGAGTCTAATCAAACAGAGGTCAGAAAAAATCGCATATCTGGAATTCACCATAGCAAGGGTGTTTGGCAGAGAGCTATTTACAGCTGCATAACTCTCTGGAGCGTATTCGTTCAATGTCAGAGCAGAAGTTTTCGTTTTGTAAAGAATTTGTTGGAAATGGCACCTCTTTAAGCATAAAATGAGCCTGGATGGTATAACATAACCAATGTTCCCAAAGAGGGGAAAAAGTTAAGCATGGTTCAACTACCATATCGACCATTCTCATCGTTGGTTTACACACAGGATTCGTTGTGCACATCACTCCCCAATGGGCTCCATTCTTCTTGAGGTCTATTCGCTAGCGGATCTGCGATAATTCGAAACAACGGCGCGAATTATGTTCAGGCGCCCCACTTTTTCCAAGTCAAGCCTAAATTTCGATTTCGCTGGATAAATTGACCTTCTTAATTCCATATGATCCACTCATCGTAGGCGTTGCGGGGTGTTCAAAAGAGTCAAATGATTAACTTCTTCAGACTCATGAACTCCTGTAATTAGGAGGACTTCTATGCACTAAATATGGAAATTGCATGGAAACATGGCCTCTACACATAGCAGTAACTGCAAAA